TGCAGTATTTCCGCTATATCGGGAGTGCTGTCTGAGATTAAGTTGTTGTTTAGATTGTCACCTTCAAAGCCAGCTAACTGGGATATCGTTCTATGCCATTTTGCTGCATCGTGTTTGCGTTTGCTTTTGATCTTAGATGAATAAAATTCTGCTTTAGCTTTCTTGATAAGTGTAATGATCTTATCAGCCAATTGTCTATATTTGGTCATGTTCCCTGTAGTATAGGCTTTTTGCCTCGCTTTAATCTCTTTTTTGATATAAGCCGTCATCCATGGCTTGTCAGACGCATGGGTACGTATCGTGGTTACAGGTATTGTTTTATCTAATATGTCTATTATAGTATTTGTAAAAAGACTAACTTTGTTGTTGATATCTCGAGCCTCAAATATTGATTTCCAGTCCTCAAGGTTTAATTTTAGGCCGAGTGCATTTAGGTTACATGGTTTCGTTAGGCGCACTTTTCGAGTAGAAAGCTTCACGGTTTGTATTGTTTTGGGACTATACAACAAACATTGATGGTCAGAGCGACCAACTGGAGGCAGGTGCACCACTTCTTTATATAAATCTGACATGTTCGTTAGTATTTGGTCCAAAACTCTGGTGCCTCTTGTCGGTGCTTTTACAGACTTCTTCAAGTTAAATCTTCTACATAGTCTACTCAGCTTCATTTGATTGAAGTCTCCCATTATGCAAACACCAGCAGACGGGTAATCTCGTAAGACAGAATCAAGTCCCCTAGTAATATACTCAATCAGTTCTCTTTCACTTTCTGCCGACTGCCCTGGGGGGAAGTAGACGCCAACTGCCACTATAACGCTAAAAGGCCTAGGGGTTCTGGGGGGTTTAAGAAGCAGCCATAGGACCTCTCTGTTATCTTCTTCTAAATTTTTTAGACATGTAGTTGGTATACAAGCGTTCACATATGCTAATACACCCCCTCCTGGTGTAAGTCGGTCCCGCCGATAGGTATTGAACATTCTTCCAATGTTTATAGCAGAGTCGGGTATATTTGTATTCAGCCAGGACTCTGTAATCATAATCAAGGAGGGACTGTTCATTTCAACAATAGCGTGTAGATCGTCAACTTTGTTCGAAATGTGACATATGTTCGTTAGGAGGATAGTTGGCATGTTAGATATAGTTTTATTAGCGGTTTGATTAGTCGGTCTAGGATTCCGTTTTGAAATGTTTAAAGTAATTAGGTTGGTAAGGTTGCGCCTATTTCGTTTATATCTATAATTACGTGATGAGATTATAACTGGAATATGAGCCATTATACGTAGGTTGAATATTTCCCAAGATGGGTGCTACTTTTCTTTGACCACATAGTTTGTGTTTCTTTCGATTTCCATGGCTTACAACGTATGTATTTAGGCCAGAAATTATCTTCCTGAAGCAGGGAACTGACGGCCGAAGGAACATGGATCTTAGATGAGATTGTTCCCCTGCGTCGACTTTTGAAAATGGAAATATAAGTCGGGATTATATTTCGTTTATTAAGAAAAGATAAAATTTGGCTTTCTTTCACATTCTCGTCTATACCTGTTACGAGAAATTTCTTGGTTTTACTTCTATTTCGTTTGACACCAATAAAGCCATCGAGGTCACTAGACAACTCGTCAATTTCACGTTGTGAATTCTGGGGGCTAGATGTGGGTATTTTGTTCGTTTTAGGCATTGCCATAGATTTACGATTTTTAGAGACAGGAGAAGATGCTGCTACTTTTGCATATGTTCAGCGCCAATTGAATCATTAGTTGATATAGGACGAGATGCAGTAGACACATCGTTCGACAATTCTATAGGTTCTACTCTTTCAAATGAAGTAGAGGCATTTTCATTAGGTATTGTATGATCACATCCATTGTTCTCGGTAGGATTAATCAGTTCATTCGAGACAATAGGGCTGCATACTTTAGCTTTATTACCATTACAGATGTTTTCCCGATTTGCATATTCAAAAGACTCGTTCGTTATAATTGTTGACTCAGTCCGAAATTCATCATCGGGAATCTTTTTATTTCTATCCATAAACTCTTGAAATTGGCGAATTGCCGGTCCTATGTTAGAAATCTATTCCGATATAGCTTGGATCGCTTCGGAATTGGTTAATTGGCCAAGCTTAAGACTTTCGAGGTCTTCACAAACATCTTGCATGCTTGATTGCTTAGCAACTGAAATGTCCTCGTCCTGCTTACATATCTGCTTGCATAATTCCTTCATAACATCGCCCGCTTTCTCGCCATCAAGATACAACAAGTTTTTATTCTTTTTCCATATTATTACTGAATCATCAAAGGTAAATAGCTTTTTGTCACCGCCAGGTTGAGACCATGTTCCATTGAGCTGCAGATCTTCGCTAACAAACCGCTTTAAGCATTCAAAATCGCCAGCCCATGCAAAGCATAACTTGTCTCTTAATTTTGTCGCCATAAGTAGGTCATAAGTAGGTCAAACAAAATTTTGATCTAGACAAGTCTTTTTTCCCCAAAATTTCATCACAGCTTGAAAGAGCATCACATAATATAGCCCTGCGAAGTTTGCCGTTTTTCAGTCATTTTATATTACGGGTATTACGCGCGGGAAATTAAACCAATTTCCCGTAATCAGAAAATGCGTGACTGAAAAACGGAAAACTTTGCAGGGCTTAGGGCTATATTCGCATTTCACAACATTTCGCAACGAAACATCGGAATATTACTAATTTTGTGATGCTCTTTCAAGCGTGGTTAAATTTTTGCCCAGACTTTTGGTTGTTACGTAATAATGCGCGAATCAAATCGAAACCTTGACATCCCCCCCCCGGGCATACCCCCGGGAATTTGGATTTTGACGTTTTGGTCAGGTCAAATTCCCTACATATATTTGTAATTCCCGTTCAAATACACCACGTATTGGGAAAAATTGGAGTTCAAATACCCCACCCCATGTACGAATTGGAAGCTACAGCATTTCGCAATTTTGGAATTTCAAAGTTTTTGTTTCCTTCAAAAACTCTCTTCAATCGTTCAAAGCCGTTTTCTTGTAGCCAACCAAGGACAAAGTTAATTCCTTTGCACTTGAAGACCTTGAACTCATCCATTAATCATTGACGCCATTTTGGATTCTGCACACGTGTTTGAAAGAAAAATTCAAATTCCCGACTCCCTTCAAATTCCCCACCTTCCACTAGAAAAAAAGGTCAAATTCCCGCCTTCTTAAAATACTAGACAAGCAAATTCCCCAGGTATGCCCGGGGGGGGGGGGATGTCAAGGTTTCGATTTGATTCGCGCATAAATAGGTCCATTGAATTAGGTGTATATACAGGGGCCGGTTGTATAAAACTCTTAATCACTTTTTAATCACTATTTTGTAGTTAAATAGTGATTAACTCTCAAATACGCGCTTCTTATTGGATGACGTTTCCACTAACTACAGTTAACTTTAATCACCTTTTTATACAACCGGCCCCAGGTGTATACGTGGTGTTTCCACTAGCAAAAAGTTATTTCAAGCTAATTATGTGGCTGTTTTTCTTCCTAGAAAATCAAATCAATCCCAGAAAGACTGATTGACATAGAACCATCCCTTGCCTTCCTTAAGCAGCCAAAAGCAATTGGTAGTGAATTGCTTTTTCTTAAATCATTGTTTTCAACTAAAGAAAGGAAATTGCTCGTAGGTTTTGATGGCGCTGGGCAACCTATCCCCCTGAATAAGGTAACGAAATATTCGCGTGACTTTCAGGCATTTTTCAAAATACTTGAAGCTGGCTAATATACAGAGAACAAAATACATTTAAGACCTTTAATACAAGGTTAATTGACGATTGATCATGCATATAGTTGTAAGTTTTGTCACCGTATTTTATATATATTTTGGAAGCACTTTATCCTGGCTGGTCGTGCTAAGTAGTCAAGACAGCTGATCCGTTAAATTAAGTCTTAATTAAGGCAGTTTTGGAGTAAATGAACTTAAATCGTATATGTGTACAAAATATGTACCTATATCAAGGTTAAACGCTTTCAATTATTTAATGATACCCGCATTTAGTTATAGGCAAGTTTCGTACAAATGGACTTTAGATTTTGCTAATAAATCAAAACGGTAAACCGAATGTGACTTCAATTTTATTTCACCAACAAGACTTCAAATGGATATAAGAAATTTACACCCACTTAATTAAGGATTTAGGAAATCAGTTATTTATTTCTTGTTAGTTAGTCAGTTAGTTAGTTAGTTAGTTGGTTATAGTTAGTCATCAGTTGGTTAGTTGGTTAGTTGGTTAGTTGGTGAGTTAGGGGTGCAAATTTTTCTTGATGGAGTCGCTGGAGTGAGACCCCCCCCACCCGGCAAGTCCGTCTATGTTTGTTTGTTTGTTTGTTTGTTTGTTTGTTTGTTTGTTTGTTTGTTTGTTTGTTTGTTTGTTTGTTTGTTTG